CATTGAATGACAACATGCCAAGAGCACAAGACAGTGGTTCTGCATTTTCTGCTCCCAGACAGGTAAGAAAGCCACTTAGCTATGACCACTTACTTTTTCTAGATCCAAAATCTTCCTCACCAGCCTCTGTCTGCTCCACTCACTATAATCTAAATACAATAACAAAGCTTTAAACATGTAACTTCATCCATGGGGCAACATTGTTCTTGCTTTTTGAAACTTCTATCAAAAGACCATTTAAAGATCTCTGAATGTCAACTTTAAATATCTACCAATGAAAAAATGAGAATGGGTTTCAAATATTTGACTTCTAAACCATTAACCCTGAAATCAATATAGGCCACTCACGTTCACCAGTTTTCAGTTTCCTCTACCAATTCCAGTTTACAATTCTCAGGGATAATAACAGAGGAAACACAGATCTGACTGGAGAAATCAGACACTCCTGAAAGAAAGTTTTCATTCCAACTTTGCTACCCCTGAATCTTCACCTTGTAATAACTCCCTTATTTCTACCTTTGTAGGGTCCTGCTGTCACACATCTTTCAGATGTACCCAAATCCCTTCCCCCATGTTCACTGATTTTCCAGCACATACTTTTTGTTTTACTGTGAGGAGTGGAAGCGTTCAGCACATGATCCAGGTCCTCCTTCAGCCTGCGATTCTCAGCCTGCATGTCCCTGATGTTCCTGGACAGCCTCAGCACAGCAGCATTCAGGGCCTTCAGCCTTTTCTGGGTGTCTCTGCCCTCTGCACTTGGAAAAGGGATCAAAACCAGAAAGTTAACTTAAAAGCAGAGAACAAAGAAGCAGCATTAAAAAGAGTGGAGCAGCTTCACTATACAAGTCAGATGGCTGAGTTGACAGCTTCAATTCCCCCATAAAAACATTTCTCAATGTTTTTTTTACTTGGGGAGTTACCTATTCTTTTCTGGAAAAGCATGCAAAGATCATCTTGCTCAGGACTTCCACAATTATTTCAATTTGTGTCAAAAAATTTGAAATATTAAAAATTCATTTATTACTTTTACTTCCTCCCCCACTCTGTTCCATTTATGAATCAACAAAGACACTTGTATGAATATTATTTTTCTTATTTTCTGTTTTTTTTGGTTAAGTAACCTTATAATGCTTTACCAGCATTCTGTGATCCTGATTTAGAAAACTCATCAGCCAACTGTGAGACTCCTCAAAAAAAAACTGTCCAGCACAGAGAGCCAGCCTGCAGGCTCTGAATGGCTTTTGTTCACTAGCAAACATTGAGATTGGGAGAGAGATTAAATAGCTCCCAAACAAATCCAACACCCAAGTGTATTTTCAGACAACTGGAAATGGTGCTCTACTGTAAAAGAAATTATCCTTGTTCTATAAACCCCAGAGAGATCTGAAACAGATTTGAAGAATACAGCTAATATGGAAATGAAAAGCGTCAGAAATGGGAAAGCCTGTTATGTGTTAAAATGACTTTAAATATACAACAGGGATTTTTAATTTTTTTCTAATAAAGGGGGGAAGAAATCTGAGCTTCTTGATGTGCGAAGTTGTAACATTTGTTCACAAAACAGACTCTTAGTGAGATGAAATATATTTTCTTTATTGCTATGAGAAAATTCTTAAAAACTTACTTTTGGAAATAAAGGCCTGAAATAACTGATACACTTCGTTTTGCACAAATGCCACTGTCAGTGACAACCACAGAACAGTTTGTGAAAGGAATCTTACATCCTATCCACTGGAATAATTATAAGGTAAAAGGGGAGATAGCCTACAGTTAGCATATCGAAAAAGGCTGAATTTTTAGCTGATCTCCTTTTTAGAAATTAAAAGGAAATTAAGAAAAAAACAAACAAGGTTGTCCAGATGTTATGGATGACTATCCACACAGCTGTCCCAAACAGGAGGGAAAAAAAGAGTAAAAAACATAACACAACACACCGTTAAAATGGGTTAGTGACAGGAATGATAGAAACCATAACCATACTACTCAGTGGCATTATTTTAGGCTTATCTAAACCCAAAATGAAATCTATTTCAATCCATTTTGAGGGCTTCAAAAGTTAGTTTCTAGCTAAAACTGGACACTACAGTTTCACATACATATAACCAGACTTCAGTATTAACACTGAAAAAGAGAAGCCAAATGCCATTCACTTCAGCCAGAACTAACAGAGACAGGCATCATGAAAGAAACACTCTCAAACAACTCTTTCAATATGCCAGAGTCCTGACCTTCAACATGATTTATTATGTCAGTGCCCAGCCTCTCCAGCAGAGACTGACAGTCATGTAATGGAGAGAGACTGCCCTGACCACCACTTTTTGAAGCTATGAACAAATGAGGACAAGGAAGAGACCTGGTGACTCATTTTTACCTGTAAATAAATTAGGTGTGATGGCTTAGAGCCTCGAGAGGCTGGTCACTGCAGACCTGAGCCAAAATACTTTTTTTTTTTTTTTAAGTGACAAAACAAATTGCAGTTTTCAATCCACAAATGACAGTGAATTAGGGAACACAAGCAGAATAAATTATGACCCTAAAGAGCTCTCACATGTTTCTATCAATCTAAATAATTACACTCAAAATGTTAAGACAGTTGTCTGTACTTAACACCAGGAGGTCAAGTATATTTTGAAGTGGTGTGGTAACGTATTTTACTGTCCTACAAGACACTCTTATGCTTTTTCAGCTCAAATAACACTCAGTTGCAGTTATGCTTTTAATTTCTCTTAGTGGAGCTCTGTCTTGTGCTTTAATGCTTTGACTTTTATTGCCTCTATGAACTGTTCACCCTCACCACCATGCCCACACTCGCCCACCAGTGACAAGCACTTGCACAAGCTTCTCTGACACAGTTTCCTTGTCTGTGTCTCTGTACCAAAGGAAAATAATGTTTTCTCCAAGAATATTTTCTTTGCAGCACACACTCTAGAGCAAGATACAGAACTGACTCAAGTGTGAAATGCCAAACATCCAGGGAGTTTGTTTCAATTACCAGTAATGCCAGGATAGGTGTGATTATGAGGGAAGATGTAACAGAGATAAATTTTCAGTGCTATCCTGTACTTTTTAAATAGCTATGGTATTTTTCCAGATCCACAAAATGATCTATCTACAAGCAAAAAAATGTGACTAAGACATATTTCAAGGCTGTGAAGCCAACTAAAGCAGTACCAAAAAAGCAAATCCAGCAATCTAAATGACAAAAACTGTTCCCATGTAGTAGTTTTCCATCAGTTAAAGCAGGACTCGACTGATGTGTCAAACACATGCATGCAAACATTTGCATCAGAAGAATTAAACATACTTTTTCCTTATAGTCTCAGACTTGGCCAGGAGGAGCTGGAGGCGATGAACCTGTGAAATACAGATTCCATTAAGGAGCATTAGCAATGTCAGCTTCCACAGAAACACATTTGTTCATTAGGTGAAAATCAGAATAAGACTCTTTGGGTAGTGGCAGAGTTAATGATGCCATCACTGAAAATCAGGCTGCTGTTAAATTTGCTTTCATCTCAACATTACACTTATGGATGTACAGTGGGTTCTTTATTTGCCCTTTTTCATTAACACACTCAACTTATCGAAGGAAAATATTTTTTCAGTACATACAGCTGGAGCTGTGAGAATTAACTATGAAAACCTGCAACCAATGACAGGTGCTGTTAAGGTACAAGAAACTTATCTTAAACATTCCATTTCCACTTTGACTCAACAATTGGCCAGCTTCCTGTTCTGCATGCACACCGAAGGACCTGCCAGACATACCTCTTCATAGTAGGTTTCCATGGCTAACCTCACTTCTTCCAAACTACTGGTTTTCACGTCTTCTTGGAATTCACTGAAAATAGAATAATACAAAAAAGAATCCAGTCAGATCAGCAAAGACACTGCAAGCTGATGGTTCATAATTTTTTTTTTGTTTATAATTGCCAATACGTTCTTGGGAGTTTATTAAAATGTCTTAAGGAATAGAACACAAATGAAAAATAACATGGATTTGCAATTCTCTTTATTAGCTAATCCTCTACCCCCTGCCCCCTCAAAGTCATACTTAATTGTGTTGTCTTTCTCCTTGCACTGCTCTTCAAGCTTGACAATCTTCTGCTTTAATCCAGTAGCCACCTACAGAAAGAACAAAGAGCTCATGAGTCCTTGAATAATCTATCTCTTCACAGAAGTTCTATTCCTGTCTGCCCTGTCTTTATAAATTGTACCCAATCAGATATACCTATTTCTACATATTTCAGTACTTAGTAAATCATACACATCTGCTACCCTGTGAAAAAGAGAACACTGATGAAATCAGATGCTGGATTTCATTATGAGTTTAAGAATATGGGTATACAACCATAAAATAAAAACATTGCCCACTACCTTGCCAACATCAAAGCAGCAAACAATAGGGAGAATGCTGCCTAAACAGACTCAAGGCAATGACAAAGAAAGCTCCCAAAAAAAAAAGTTAATTCTAGATCTTTATTACTAACTCCTTAGCTGCTAACAGAGATAATAGGTTATGTGATTACCTAACTGATTATTCTTCCTGACCTAATTTTATTTTGTAGTATTGTTTCACCTTAGCAAGAGGAAAAAGGACAAATGAAAGCAGGAAGTGATGAAGAAACTCTTACCTGTCCATTATCAGTCTTCTTTTCTGACCAAGCTCGAGCCAGCTCAGAGCCCTGCAACAGAAAAAGCAAGTGACCAACTCTGGTCACAATAACTACTTTATTCTACTGCTGGCTCTTTCCACAGAAGTTTCCAACCTGCTCAATCCACAGTCCAACAGCTGAAATTCTGAACTCCTTATGCCCTTAACTTTCTATTAGCACATTTCTCCCAAGATGTAGGCCTGCACACAGTGACAGCCACAAGAAATTCAGTAAGATTCAAGTCTGACCACAACCACAAATGTTTCTTGTCAGGGCCTGACAAGGCTGCTCTTCTGCCTCCTGGTCAGGTCTCAGGACTGCATGAATGCATCACTCTGAAAGAGGTTAACTCCTTTCTACTCTCAGGCAAAATATTCAGAGAGTGGGCTCCTAATGAGACAGCATTTTTATTTTACCTTCAGAAATTAAAGGTATTTGTACTAAATGAACTTATTTGTAGTGCATGGCATCATCTGCCTTTGAACTGAGCTGGACTGCTGATCTGAGATCCACAGACCAGAAATCCCTTTACACCACCTCTCATATTCCAGCTCATCACTCCTAGGAGTCACCACTCTATAAACTTCTACTCTTTTGCCCCACTTTTATCCCCCCAAGAAATACCCACCCTGGAAGGATCCAGCAGTTGTTCAATCTGTTTATCCTTTCTATTGTTCTCCTCTTCCAGTCGACGGAGCTTTGTCTTCATTCTGTCTCCCTCATTCTTCTGAGCTTGTATTGTCTAAAAGAGGGAAGAAGAATCTTAACCACATTTCAGAAATAGGAGAAACCAGAGTTTTTCCTATGGAAACACATGGAATGGAATGGAATGGAAACACATTTTGATGTCAAAACCAATCCAATTACAATGGTAAAGATGACATGAAAAAAGAGGACAGAACAGCCAAAACACAAAACCATCACACTGGACCAGGGCAGACACCAGGACAGGACAGCTTAGGGAGGAGACAGAGGGAAGATAAAAGGAAAAGGTCTTACAGAAAGGCAGGCTTACACAAACAATCAACTACAGCCAAGGTATTTGTCTATACGTAACCCCAGAGCTCAACAAGCCCGGTCCTCACCCTTCATACAGTGCACCAGCCTCTACAGAAAACTCTAACCATATCACCACAGTGAATTTGTCTTAGACAGACATAAGTTTTAGTTTAGCCCTACATTACAAATGCAAAAAATGTGGTGGTTGCCCCTAGTTGTAGAAACTAAAGTATTCTGGATCATTAAGGCCAGGACATGCACAGGAAGGAGCAATGCCAAGACTTTTCCTGTAAATATCAGAGAAACTGTACCTTTTTCAGTTCTATAATTTCATCATACATATCTTCTTTCTCTTTGTAGTCAGGAGTTCCAGGAATGTAGCCTACAGAAAGGGGTATGTAAAATAAGTAGATCCAAAAGAGGTATTTTTAACCAACCAGAAACTTTGCAGATAAAGAGAAATATCTAGAACAGCACCAAAGTGGAAACTAGGTCTTTTTCCTTTCTTCGAAGAAGAAAAATCAACAAGGAAATTAATTTTAGAAAGGGAGGTGAAATGTAAGTGTTACTGTATGAAACTTCTGCTAGATTTTGCAGCCAATTTTTTCCTAATTACTTCTCTTCTCTGGTGCTATATTAAAATATCCACCTGAAGAAAGATACAAATTTCACAGAAGACTGCAGTCTTCTCATCCCAATAAATCCATTATTTACAAAAGGTTTATAAAATATGTCTAGAATACATTTTTCTATTTATGCTTAATATGCACAAATATGTATCATCCTGTAAAGTTGCCAGAAATTTTGTATCACCGGTAAATGTATAGGTGTCATTTTAAATGGAAGTGGAATTCTAAAGTTTAGAGTTCTCCTTTAAGAAAAGCAGAATAAAACTTTGAAAGTTTGCTCTTCTCATAAAACTCATTTGATTTTAATGTCACAACCACATGATAAAACACTTTCTAGAGAAGAAGTAAAAGGAGTCAATTACATAGAATTTCAGGCAAGCAGATGGTTTCTATCAATGGTTCCTAAACTATGTTTTGAAGCCACAATAAATTGTCTACAGCTGTCCCATTGAACCATATTATATTTGCAACATTTTCAGCTGCAAATGCATGGCAATTTGCAAAAGTTTTGAAAGCTAACAGTGATTCATTGCTCAAAAAAATTGGAAATCCCTGCCTTAACCAATTTAGGAATCTCAAAAAGTATCTCATTGATCATATTTTCACACACGTATTTTAGTAAACTAAAATGGCTCTTGCTTTTCTTAAGCAATGTGTGTTTTTAGAGGGGAAAAAATAATTCCATTTTATCTACCACACCATTATAGAGCTTACCATTACTGGGAGAACGAGCATGTTTTGGTTTTTTCATTCCTAGAGCCTCCTTCAAATATTCTGGAGTGCTACTGGAAACATTTCCTCGCATATGCCCCGTGTCAACATCTGATTTCAGAGCATGGCTCGTTCCTGCCAAGAGAAATGGAACAAAAATGCAAAAATCAGGGATAATTGTGAATTAAATTTCTGGAATTATTCTGAACAAATGCAACATGGAAAGCTCCAGATGCTGTTAATTATTCCCTCTATAAATGCCAATGCTCAATATCAGATAATTCTAACCACCCAAATAAATAAGAGTGAAATTAATTCCTGCGTAACCTTTAATCAAAGACAAATCTTTTTTTTAATAGTTTATATGTTAAGCTGTCCACAACAATGCATTTTATCCATAAATGCAAACAATATTTCTATACTAATACCTTGCTTCAGAAATCCCACCCACATGTGCCTTGGGTTTTCAACAGCTGCATTCTCAAAGCAAGCACTGCCTGTTCCCTGCAGAGATCTCCAAGCTGCAGCTTTTTTAGGATACAGTTGTGTGCTTGAGCTGTAGGGAGACTCTAAAGCAAAAGAAAATATTTCAGTGCTGCCTTCAAAAGCTCAAGGTTACTAAAATTCTTGTTGTCTTGTTCTTCAAAGTTTCCAGACTCAATCCTGTTACTTGTAAAAACAGAATTTAACAGCATATTCCATATTGGCTTACACAGAGCAATGGAACAGGCACATAACAAGCCCCCAAAACCCAAAGAACTCCACTGTAAATAAAAAAATACAGTTCCAAAAAAATGAAGAGACTTAGAAAAAGGCAGAGTGACAGCAGTATGACTCAACACATGTGGAAATATTTATGTGTACAGTTTGTTTAGGTATCTTTAAGATACCTGCACATCTAAATGTTGTTACAAACAACACTTTAGGGTAAAGCCTTCTTTGAAACATTCATTAGAAGCCTGTGAAGGAAGGTAAATGGGAAAGCATAGCAAAAAAACATAAACCCCAGAAATAAAGGACAAACCCAATGTTAAAACTGTGGATCTAATAATAATAACAACATTGTACTGTGAAAAAAAAAAAAACAAAAAACCAAAGCAACCCATCACAACAAATGAAACAGAGAATCACTAAATCCACACACAGAAATCTATGATTGGATGGTAGAGAGCTCCAGTAATTCCAGAGTCTCTCTACACAACAAGTAACAGGATTTCTCCAAAAAGACAAGGAGAAAAACAAATTCAGAATGGTTGCCATCAGAAGGCAGGGCATGAGAAAAAAGCAGATTATGCTGGAGAATCAAGATTTAAAACAAACACATAAATATCAATATTTTATTCTATACAAGCTGGACTTCACAGGTTACAGATCTCAAACAGGTGTGCTCTGCACACAGCAATGAATATTTCTGAAGAGAATAACAAGATGTTGTCTCAAATAAAGTTCCCAGTTCCTGTATCCCACAGACATACCAGGTTTTGCAATTGAAGAATAAAAAGTTTTGGAACACTTACTTGGTGACTTTGGAGGCTTGTGAAAAATCTTTTTCTTTAACTTCTGAAAGAGAAATGGATATTTTTTTTCTGTATTGAAAATACACAGCTGTTAAGATTTCATCACATAATCTCAAAATTGCCTTCAGTTTCCCATTTTCTATGAAGATCCTTTGTTCTAATAAGACAAAACCTTTTCTATAAAAAAGAAAAATAATAACATTAAGCATATGCAGATTTGGGCACAGCAATGGTGACCAGAATTAAGGTGGTGCCAACTGAAGTCTGATTATACAGATAAATTACCAATTCTTGCTCAGAACATGAACAAGCATGAGAACATGAGTAGCATCAAATTCAAGATGATCCCAGAGTAGAGGCTGATCTGTAGAACCTTTTAGTTAAAGGAATTATTCAATTCCATTAAACCTTAAGTAATCTCTAAAAGGATTACTGAAGCCCTCAACTCGATAGAACAGCAAAATAAAGCAAACATCATCTGCAGCCCCAGTGCTGAGAATGTGGAAGCCAGAATTACACCTGAAATGAGAGGTTTGTGACTCAAGCCCACTGCAGTGCCACTGTTCACTCTCCTTTCTGAGGGGTGCTTGGTGAGCAGGAGGCACCACACAGATGAGCAGAAACTCCAGAGGGGTTTTGGGGCTTTAATCCAAACTCACCATGGCTGTGTCTGACTCACAGGTTATCACAGACAGGCTCTCATCTCCCTGGGAAACACAAGACAGGACATTTGCTACTGAACAACTGCTTGCAATACACATCCAGGAAACTTCAACAGTTCAACAGAGCTGGAGCACAATAAATTCAAACTGTGAGCAAAGCCTCTGTTTCTCTTCCATTGCATTGCTAAAATGTCAATTGTTTAAGACAAAAATAAGCCATTTTCCAAAAACACTAAAGCCACTGGAAGATGGTGGGGTTCTTGCAGCCAGCATAATTTGCTCTAATAGAAATAGTTTTGAGATATTGTGAAAGTCACTTCAGAAATGAACCATCACAGAATGCTTTGGGTTGAAAGAGACCTTAAAGATCATCCAGATTCAAGCCCTGTGCCATGAGCAGGGACACTTTGCACTAGAGTCACAGAGACTTGGCACTGCACCAGCTGAACCTGCAGCTGCCTCTGCATGAATTTCTCCACCATTTAAGCTGCAACTCGCTCAGCTCTACCCCTCCTCCCTCACCTGTGCTACCCCTGCTATACTATGGGATTGTTCAGTTCCTGTATTGGAATGGAAACGTGCTCAGGCCAAGGGAAGAAACCCCAAATGCAAGGAAGATGACAGATTTCTCTCCCTCTCAAATACAAGCACATCCACAGATGAAGGAAAATTTCCACTTAGCTTCCAAATTATCTGGATGCTGCCCTCACAGAAAGAACTTTTCCACTTGCTGCTGACTCTGTGGCACTCAGCACCAATCTTTGGACAGATGCTGATCAGTGTCTGTAAGAGGCAGGGGAGGGGATGAAGTACTTTTGGAAACCCTGGCTGGCAGAACAGGAGCAAGGACAGACAACAGAGCAGGTTAAAGAGCCTGCCATGCTGGCTGAGAGCAGGCAGGGATGTGTCCTCACACACCAGGCCATGCAGTTTTTCATTTCCTGAGGCAATGCTCCTTGCAGCACACTGATTAATTTTGTTATTTTACGGCGTCTCATTCTGAAATATCTCTCTCCCTAACTGCAGCTATCATGTTTGGAATCAGACAATGTGCAGAGTGCCCAGCTTTGATAAATGGTAACAACTAAACATTGGCCAGAATACAAAGATGCAGTGACAGCCCCAGCACTATTGCTTGGTAACCTTCAGCACCAGGCAACAACAGAACCTGGGGGCTCCCAAAGGGGCTCAAAACCTCCAGCTCCCTGCTGAGGGGAGGGAAACAAATACCAACAGAGAATCACAGAATTATCTAGGTTGGAAAAGCCCTCTAAGATCACCGAGTCCAACCTCTGACCCGACACCACCTTGCCAACCAGACCATGGCACCGAGTGCCATGTCCAGCATTCTTTCTTTTAAACACCTCCAGGGATGGTAAATCCACCAATTCCCTGAGCAGCCTTTTCCAATATCTAATCACTTTCTCTGAAAAAATTCTTCCTAACGTTCAACCTAAACCATCCTTAGCACAGCTTCAGATTTTCTCACGTCTGTGCCGTGCTGCGGGGCAGCCACAGGCAGAGCCCAGAGTCCCGCGGGCTGGAGAAGGCAGAAGCCATCCCACTCCCCCTCCGAGCCCCCGTCTGGCCGGCCTGCCAAGCCCGGGGGTGCCCCAAAGTTTTGCCCCGGCCGCGCCGGAGCGTTCCCTGAGCCGAGCCCGGGCCGAAGCAGGCCTAGACCCGGGGCCTTCTCCTCCTCCCCGCCGCTCACTCCTTACCAGCTCCCCCTCCGCGGCCGCCTCGCCGGCCCCCAGGGCCATGGTGGGAGAGGAGAGGGGAGGCCTCACGGGGCGGCGGGGCCGCGGAGGCCCCCTCGGGCCGAGGCTGCCGGCCCGGGCCTGGGGGCGGCCATCGCCCCCCGGCGGCACTTCCGGGTCGCGGTAACCATGGCAACCGCCCGCGGCCCGCGCCGGGGACGCATGCGCAGAGCGGCGGCGCGCCTGCGGGCAGTGCCGGGGGAGGGCTCGGCCTGGCCGCGGAGCGCGGGTGACACCAAGCGGCCCCGCGGGGAGCGAAACCCCGGCGGGCGGCGGAGCGGCCTCTGCGAGGGCTTTGCCCCACTGCCAGGACGGGAGCTTCTGCCTGAGAAAGCCGGGGTAACTGCGGCCAGGGCGCAACGCCATCCCGCGCACCACCGGTACCGGCCCGCAGCCACCGCTGCCCCGGAGCGCGCCGGGGTCACGCCCCCTGACCGGCCGCTGGCCACGCCCCCGCTGGCCACGCCCCCTTTGCGACACTCGCGGTGCGGCCGGGCCGGCCCGGCTCGGTCCCGGTGGTCCCGGTGGTCCCAGCCATGTGTGACCCCCAGTCCCGCTTCGTGGCCCGGGCCCGCCGCCGCTTCGCCATGACCCGCGAGTGCGCCGTGCTGCTGCCCGGAGTCTGCGCCGCCCTGGCCGACCCGCGGCAGCCCGGCCTCGACGACACCTGCCTGGAGAAGCTGCTGGACTGGTTCCGCAGCCTGACGTGGTTCGGTGAGTGCCGGGGCCCGGTCCGAGGCGAGCGGAGGTCCGTCACGGAATCGCAGAACAGTGCGGGTTGGAAGGGACCTCCGGAGATCATCCAGCGCAATTCCCTGCCAAGGCTGGGTCACCTGGAGCGGGTGACACGGGAACAGGTGCCCAGGTGGGATTTGAATGTATCCACAACAATCTGAGGTGCTGTGACACCTCAAAATGCTGTGGGTGCACCCGAGTTCATCAGTTGTAGCAGCTGGCAGGGCTTAGCTCAGCTCAGGGAACCGCTTGAATGAGGCAGGACAGTCCTGGCAGTGACATGCTGTTTTCCGGCCTCTCCTGGGCAGATCCCACTGTGGAGCTGGTGCGGGACAACCCGTGTGTGACAGAGCTCATCAGCTCCGTGCTGGCCCTGCCGGACCCCAGCCCCAGCATCCTGGCCTTCACCCTGCAGTTAGCCGGGATCCTCGCCTCCTCCGAAAGCCGCTTCCAGCACCTGCAGGTGAGTCAGGCACCCAGGTACCTGCTGCTGTCTGTCTGCTCCTTCTCTATGGACAGCCCCTAAAAACTGTCCATACAGGTTCTGCTTAGTAAATTTAGGGCTTACGTGGAACAACTCAGCAAGAGTGATTTGACAGCAAAGAGCTACAATCACAATTCCTGTTCCATTCTCATGTACAGCTGCTTCTCACTTCTGTGTCACCACAACGGGACTGTGAATGCTGATGTGTAGTGCTTCCATTTTTAGTTCAAAACTGTATGGGGTAACCCAGCTCTGGGTTGGACTCGATGATCTTGAAGGTCTCTTCCAGCCTTGTCATTCTGTGTGTTCTGTGAACATTACTTCACAGCAGTCACTACACAGTACTGTATCCCAGGACAGATCCTGTAGATTTACACTGCACTAACAGATCTTGTTTTCCCTCCATAGTAGGTTGACAGGAAAGTTTTGTTCCCTGCAAAAACAAGGGAGCTTTTTAAAGCTGTGCTTCCTGCACCAGGATACATTTTAGTATAAAACCCAAAAGGCTTCATTCAGAGAAGAGATGTGTGCAGGTGTATAAAGCAGTCTGATGGAACTGATACACATAAGTTGTCCTTTAGCACCTGCAAACAAAACACTTTCGGTTTTGAACACTAGTTCATCCATATGTTGCGTTTAAGCGTGAGATTCTGAAAACTGCCCATTTTAGTGATGCTTGTAGCAAGAGGAGGTTTCACTGCAGTACTGATACTCTTGACTGGGACAGAGCAGCCCCTTTGCTCGCTGTTTACTCCGTGTTTTGCCCTGCCTCAGCAGGAGAAGCTGCTGGGGAGGCTCTTTGGCCGGGAGGGGCCCCGGGGCAGCGCGGCGTGGGAGGAGGCGTCGGTGCGCAGCGCCTGGCTGAAGGGAGTGCACAGCATGCTGCACCACCTGCCTGCCCTGCACTGCCTCTGCTCCACGGGTGAGTGCTGCTGGGGCTGCCACCCCCCCGTTCTGCTGTGGCCCTGCTGCTCAGGTGGCAAATGAGCAAGATGGGAGTCTTTGTTTAGTTAAGGTTAAAGCAAGCCATTTGTCAAAACAAACAAAGTCGTTGAAAGATGTTGGTTAAGTTAGCTAAGCATTAAGTTAACTTTTAAGTTAGTTATGCTATTAGTTTTTGCCTCCAAACACTGAAGGTGGTGCTCTTTGTAGAGGAGAAATAATCTTATAAAATTGCCCTTATAAAATTAAAAACTATCTGTATTCTTATTTGTAACTCCTACTGAAGGGTACATTTCAACATGATTTTAGTGCAGAAAAGCTAAATGGAGGCTCATTTATCTCTTTGTGCTTGCACGCATTTGTAATCCTGTTGTTATGGAGGTATGTAAATTTTAGATCCCATGTACATAGGGCCTAAAAGACTGGACTGGACTGGTATTAAAGTGCAGCACATGCTGCTGTCCATGTGATGGAAAAGTGGTACTGATACTGCTGTTCATGTTTTTCCTACTGGTTATGTCCAGAGATGGTACAGGCTCTGTCCATAAATACAGATTGAGAGTGCTGTCAACTCTCCTAATGTTACTGATGTTTATTGAAGTCTGATCCTGAGTTCTTAAACCCCTGAGGATCTAAAACAATTTTATTTTCTTCTGTTTGCTTGTTGTCAAGAACTGGCTGACTTTGAGTAGAGACTACAAAATAAAGTATAAGAAAACCCCATCACCACCATTTAAAACTGTGTGGTACCTGAATTAGTGTCACGACTGGATGTTTGTTGCTCCAGTGACTTGTTTTGTTTTCCCACAGGAGGCATGGATGTGATCTTCACTCTGCAAGGGGATCCCAGCCTGTTTGTGGCTTCAGCTGCCAGCCAGCTCCTGGTGCACTTGCTCACCTTCTCCCTAGAGTCTGAAACACCAAAAGCTCTCAGTGCCAAGGACTGTGACTGGCCAGCGTGTGCCCAGATGATTGTAAAGCACATAAAAGAGTCACTTCAGTCCAGCTCTGCCTCTGACATCGAGCAGTCACTGAAGCTGTTGAGCAGTTTGTTTGGCAGTTGTTTTGGCAGTTGTTATGCTGCATGGACTGAAGTCCTTTGGTTAGACATAGCAAAGCACATAGAATCCTTTCTAATGGAGGAGACTCTTCAAGCACAGCCCGTGCTGGCAAATCTTTTGCTTAACGTGGCACGGTAAAGCTCTTGTGGCAACTTGGAGGCTGTGCTGAGATAGATCTGCTTGCCACCATGGGACAGGTTACACTTACACTTCTCTCTTCTCAGATCCCCTGTGTTTTGTGGCACTGAAGGCAGCTTTTGGGCATTAGTAACTTCTGCTCTGGAACACTTAACCCCAGTACAAGCAGCTCCTCTGGCAGTGGGACTTTTGAAGCTCTACAAATGGTAGGACTTAATGCAATGAAATTTCTGCACTGTGCAGGTGTTTCTGCTCCATAATTTCTCTTTAGATAGTGAAGAAGCAGCAGGAAATCATCAGATGAACAGAGCACACACAGATACTGATTTACAGGCTGAGTAACACTGTTGCTCTAAGATAGAAGGACACTTCATTAACAAGATATGCTTCTCTCCCCCAGCCTCCTTACACAGGATCCCACTCTGTATTTGCATAGCTGCTTCTAAATTCCAGAGCCATTTCTCCTCTGCTTTCAGTTAGCAAGGGGACCTTGGAAGATGGCTCAGATTGTGATACTGCTTTTGTTGCTCTGTCATTGCTGGCTTGTTTAAAAGCCTGTGTGAAAATCATTATCCTGCTCAGCATTTAGGGGCAGGTATTTGGGAAGGAATTGAAGTTTACTTGTGTTGGTAACTGCTGTTTCCTCCTTGAAGCCCACAAGATGTCAGGATTCAGGCACTGACTGTTCTACTTCAGCCAATGGACTGTATTTTGAGAGCAGCCTCCCAGCCTCTGGAATGTGCAGGTACAGTTGTGACAGAAAAGTTAGAGGCCAGTCTCTGCTTGCCAGTATTTTAAGTGCCTGGTGCAGCCAAAATGGAGGAAAAAGAGTAGGGGAAGTCAAGGACAGTAGCAGTGTTAGTGGTAAATCCTTCTGCCAGTTGTATTTGAAGGCATATTCATACTACATCAGCTGAATATCTTGGTTAACTTAAAAATCACAGCTCTTTCTATTCATTGACAACCTGAGCTCTTCCTTTCTTTGATCTAGGCTTGCTGGATGAGTCTGTCAGTGATCCTGTCACTGTTGAAAGTCTTCTGTCCTCCAAGACATCTTGTGCCGGTCTCCTGTGTCAAACCCTCGCTCACCTGGAGAAGCTGCTGTCTCTGGTAACATTCAGAGAGGGAAAAAAAGAGCCTGGGAATCAAACTGGTCCTTGAAAGACAGTGTTAAGATAATTGCAAACTTTTTCAGTAGAGCATAACAGAATGTGGAGAGGAGTTGGCAGTGAGGGTCTCCATAGTTTAAAGAAATTTAACACAGTAGGCTCTAAACAGGAAAGCGGGGATACTGAGACTCTTAAAGAGGGACTGCACTTAAGTTTTAAATTTGTATTGATGAGCTTTGTTAACATACCTTACTTGTATTACAATTATTGATCCTGAGAAGAAACACAAATTGAACTGCTTTCCCAAGCAGTCAGAAGAATCTCCTTCCATCTGTGCAGTAGTTCTTGGAAGACAGGAGTATCATTTATTTGTAGCTATTGACATTGTAGTACCTTAAGAACCCACTAGAAGTTGCAATTTTTTGCTGCCTTCTGACCTAAATCTGCTCTGTACTTGAGACTGTTGCTGGAAACTAATTTTCTTTCCTTTCTCACCCATTAGAAACATTTAAGAGTGGACTTACCTAGTGTGTCTTTGCTGCACTCTCTCATGACAATATTACAACTCTGCAATGGCTTCCTGAGCCCAGCTTCTCCCCTGGGAAGCACAATAAGCCGGAATTTGATCAATTCCTTCAGAGTGCAAAAGTCAGCTCTTGATGTCCTTGCAGCACTCTCAGAGAAAAAAGGTGACTTCATCTTTGCTTTCTTACCCAAAACAATTTTACAGTTCTGTGTCTTTGTGTATTTCAGCAGGGATTTGGCTGCTCCATCTCTCAGTATTGGTCCTTTGGGTTTATTTTCTGTTTCAGACTGTGACACTCTCTTAGGAAATTTATTTGATGTCCTTCTGGAATATCTGCAGAGTCCAAACACCAACCCTACTGTGAGTATAGA